AATGTACTAGATCAATGACGCTAACTTGTAAGCGAAGGATAGTGTTTTCCTAAGGGATTGTTAGGTTTGATGGCGGATTTGAGTAGATTGAGGAGGGTTTTTAATTCCCCTCAATTTTTTAGGGGTTGTTTGGATCCTTTATTTTGGAGAAATTGAAATCTACATAATAGATTAGACTATTTGGCTTGTAATTTGACATTCCATAACATTTCAAGCTGACAAATAAGTCTATCTTAAATTCATATGGTAGAAGATGGAAATGGATTCTACATATCACTATGCTATAATTCTATTCTCCAACTTATAGCACACTCTTCAACTCACTTCCTTACAATAGAAATACAACATATAAGTAGTATGTCTAACAATAAATATACAAATATATTCTATATATAACTATATTAACTTAATTAATCTATGTCTAAATTGTAATTATTAGAATGAATTCAATTCTAAGGATCCAAACGGACCCTTAATCACATTCCCCTCCAATCTCCTTAAGTAGAGGATTATCAAACAAGACCTAAGTTTTTTCCCCACCTATAACTTGCAGCCACTCACGTCCCTGACTTAATTAATTTTCCTCCTCCCAATTATTTTCTTCAAGTCCAACAAACGCTCCCACAAAGGGCCAGCGAGGTTGAAAGGAGGCATGTTCCACGCAGTTAAAAAAATTGTTCTCCAAAATGTCGTCTTTTTGTGTCCAATAAATATTAAAAAAACAAACAGGGGGAGCACAAAGGGTTACCAGGGAAAATAATTGGGGTATTTGGCTACAGAAATAAGCGGCAGCTGCAGCCCGCAACTTATCCTTCTACAGAACTCTTAAGAGAGGAGAATAAGCCTCAGCTACAGTAGCCGCTTATTCATACAGCCGAACACCAATACTTTTCAGCGAACCAACAGTATTTTTTATCACAACAAATCAACATAAACATCAGAATAAGCCAAATTTTAGCGAAACGAATAGGACAAAAGGTTCTCTAAGTCAATTCATTTCGGGTGGAACTCTTCCAAACGAGTGCTTGATAGAGGGTCCATAAACCAACCATGTTCTAGGTTAAAAATGTTCATGAGTAAAAAATGTTCTATGACAAAAGGTGTTCCACGAAGAGTAACAGGTGCTGAAGGTGAGAGAACAACATTGAGAGAGAGAAAAAAAACTAAGATGAGATCCATAGCCAAAGATGCTCTAGGTTAAAAAAAAAATAGATGCTCCATGTGAATATATTATTAACTACTCCCTCTCTCCTATATTATTTGCACGTCTACGATTAAATTTTATCCCAAAATAAATGCACGTGAGATCCTAACTAGTGAGAAGTAGCTAAAACCTTATGGACTAGTGTAAAGAAAGCCTAAATAAAACTAACAGAGGCTTGGCAGCGCGGAACTGCAGATGCTCCTGTCAAATGTTTTTCATATGGGCTCATATGGACAACAGTGTAATCTCGAAATAAAGACCAACGAGGCAACGATTACTTTGGGACGACGGTGGGAACAGGTGGTTTGAGATAGATAGGAGTGCTGGCACCGGCCCACCGCGCTTGCCGCTCGGCCATTCATCACGTGCCGAAATGGAACCAAGGATACGTAGCTCGACGTAGGAACAGCCGATCCACTTCGGCGCACCGCACACGACCCTCGCGCGCCCATTCGGTGAAACGGGGAGCATCTGCGCGCGGGTGGGGGGGTGGAAGCCGGGCAACCTCGTTCGCGCTGCTGCGGGCTGCGGTGGCCGGTGGGGTGCCCGGAATCATTGCCGTTTCCGTGCTCCCAATCCCAGGACCACGGCACGGCAGCGCAGTAGTGCGGCGCGCGGGCCTGAGCTTCCACAAAGCGGCGGGCGAGCGCGCGAGGAGGGTCGTCGTCGTGAGTCGTGACCACAGTGTGCGTCCGTCCAAATGCAATCGATGCGTGCGCTCAGGCTGACGCAACCGGTTCCAGCGCAGCGCAACCTACTGGGACGGAATCACGGAGCGCTCGAAGCCAATCCGTACCGGCCGACGCTTACGCTTACCGGGGACGCCTGTACAGTATTAGAATCCATCGCATCAGATTTCCCCAAAGCATCTCGTCCGACGTGAGGTCGGATCCTCTCGTCTACTCGACTCTCGAGCAGCTTCTCAGGCTAAGCTGCTTCGTAAGTACTGCTGAACGACGTCAACGATCTTCTGCGTGCTACCCAATTTTGCCGTGAACCAGGCTACAGGCACAAGCACTGGAATCCCACCTTGCCTACCGCCACCAGTCTGACGAACGTGTACGTGGTAGTTGAATAGGTTTGTTCCGAGACAGACAAACAGTACAGTACTAGTAGCTTCATTCGCGTTGAAATGCACAAAGTGGTAAAAGAATCATAAGCGTGCCACGATCGAGTGGGCAGAGAGATGACTGAGAAACCCACTGCAAAAGCAGCAGCAGTGGAGGCCAGATAAAAAAGGGCTCAGCTCATCTCTGCCGCAGCACTTGGGTAGCGAACGAAGTTGCCACGTTCGACCACCACCGCCACCAACATCCATCCCAACAACACGCATGCGATGCACTGCTAGGCGTGACAGCCTAAACAGCAGTAGCACAAGAGCTGACCACAATGAAGATCCCTCAGGCTATGCCGGGTCTGATCGGGGAATGGGGTCCGATTGCTGGATGGATGCAGTGGATCGTGCATGGCGATTCGACCAGACGAGCGTGATGCGGTGCCTGAAAATTCGCCAATAATGCCTCCACTCCCGGTCGCCACCGTGGGGATTCTGCATGTGCAGAGATCGAGGTTCCAGGCCATTAGGATTTAGGGAAATGAAATCTGAAGAAAAGAAACCTGTATTCAACAGGGAAGATCCACCTTTCTTTATAGTAAACCTCAAAGATATTGAAACCCTGGACTTTGAACGGTATTCCCTTGCACTGTGCTCCCTGAAAAGAAAGTATTGTGAAAGCACTATTACATCAGCTGGTATTGTGAAAAAAATTCTGATCGCCCGAATTCAGGACAACTGGAAGAGAACCAGGTAAGCGCTACGTGAAAAACGATTTTTAGCAACGGGATAAATTTTTTGTAGGGGTGGCTGGTGATGGAGCCGCCCTACAGTGGCGTGTTTGAGAGCCACGAGACCGGCCGCGCCTATAAATAGAACAGCAATAGGGAGGTGGCTGGTGATACGAGCCGCCACTAAAAATGGGTCGGATTTATAGGGGCGGCTCACTCACCAGCCGCCCCTGGTATTGCTATTTGTAGGGGCGGCTCGATCACAAACCGCCCCTACCGTGCGAACTGCAGTCGTTTATCCGAAGTACCCCCCCCCACCCCCAGACGTCTGTTGCCCCCGTGCGCTCTCACACTCTCTCGCCGCCCCCACGCTACGCCAGGTGCCGTGGGGCTTCGCCGGGCCCTTGGCCGCTCGCCGGTGACGAGCGAGATCTCACGACGATCACCCACCAGGTTCGTCCGCCCCTGCCTGCCTTCCCTTTCCCGCTGCGAAACCAAGCTCCCCAACCCTAACGTAAGCTATTTGCTATCTGTGCCTCCCTGCGCTCGGGCCGCGGTGGCGGCGGGATTCCGGCGTGCGGGTATGGCTGCGGCGGCTGGATCCAGGTGCGCGGGCCGCAACGCCGGCGGGATTCCGAGGCAGCCGCGGCGACGACGGCTAGTTCCTGGCGCGCGGCGACAGCGCAAGGGTGGCCGGATCCGCATGCTCGTCGGCCGGATCCGGTGGTGGCTGGTCCGGGCTCGCCTCTCCCCCATGTGGTGACGACCGGGACTCGCGGTCCCGCAGCGCGGTGGCGGTGTGGTGGCGACCGGATCGAGGTCCTAGCGGCCGGATCCGTGGGATTGGCGGCGGCTGAGCTGCGCTGGAGGGAGTTCGGCGCGGCCTCCTTGGCTACTTCCATTTCCGGTAGATCTGGCGCCCTCAAGGTGAGCCGCCCACACTGGAACCCTACCCGCCTTGACCTCCTTGGCTCCTTCCATTTCGGTAGATCTGGGCGTGATTCGCCGATCCGCTTGTGGCGTCGCTTGTGGTCGCCGCGAGGCGGCGGATCCTTCTTGTCGGCGCGACCTGTCCGTCGTCCGAGCAGCGCTGGCTTGATATGTGAGCCTGGGAGCTGAGGGGCATTTCTGGCGTTGCAAGCGCCGATCGTTGTTTGAATGTTTGTCTTGCCCTATTGTCTGTTGAATTGGGGACGTGGTTTGTTTGAGATGCGATGTTGAGTGGCCTTTAGCCTGTTTGTAGAATCGCTATGTGAATGTGGGCTTTGGGGGGCAAGTGGAATCTGTGCTTCTGTGGATGTTTGTGATGGCATGAAAACTTGCGTAGGGTGGTGAGTTCTTCTAAGTCCGCGCTGATCATTTGTTCTCAAGGGGTCAAGTTAGTTGCTTGATCCCTGAACCATCATGTCAGTGTATTAGACATAGTAAACTTTTAATCCATGCTAGAATTGGTTCCATTTTAATACTTGGTTTATGTCGGACACTGACCCTTTCTTATTTGGTTACGATGGATCAACTGAAATATATGATTTCGAAATCCCTAGTTACCTCTCACAAGTCTTGACTGAAAAATGGGCTTGATCTCCTCAAACTACCAGTGTTTACTTCTCGCGATCACATGCTTATGTTGTAGTTATTTTGTTCAGTGCATGTGTTTGAAACCCTTGTGATGTTTTGTGTTAGTTAACAAGCGGTGTGATGTTGAAGAATGTTTCATTTCATTAAATCATTCATTACCACTTATGATACTAGTTTTCATGTCTATTTATAGACAGAAGATAGAGCCACAATTTTTATGTAGACAACCCTTTTTTATGTGAGGATGTATAAAACTCCGTCATTCTGACTCCTTACACAAGATATTGCTCTGCAAGCATACCTTTACTGTAATAATAAACAAAGAGTTAGCACGATTTTCTCTAGGTGTTCGTATGAAGCTTTACGGCTTTGACCACTGAACTGTAATATAGGTTCTTTCCTTTTATTTCATAGGCATGGGGCAGATGCTCAAATGATGAATGTTGCAATCAGGTGTGCCAGCACAAGTGTTGCACAGGGGTCGTCTGGTGGCTTCTGGACCTGGTTGACTGGTGCGCGCTCAAATGAAATACCTCCTCCAGATTTCACACTTCCGGGCGTGACTATTCCTCCTCCGCTACCTGATCATGTGGAGGCTGGCAAGACAAGAGTCACAACACTTCCCAATGGTGTTGAAATAGCCTCTGAGACATCTGCAGTATGTCGTCTTTGTGTTTATATTGTTACTCATTCCATCCATGCCCTCATCAGCAGCTGATAATAATAGGGTGTTCTCTATTTCCTATTTAGGGATCATCTTGCTCTGTTGGAGTTTATGTTGATTGAGGCAATAGGTGGCAGTGCCAAAGCATCTGCTGGCCGTGAGATGATGAGCTACACTTACGGGGCCTGAAGACTTACATGCCTGAAATGGTTGAGGTGCTTATTGATTGCGTACGCAACCCTGCTTTTCTTGATTGGGAGGTCAAGGAACAGGTATTTCATCTTGGTGTCATCCCCTTCCACATGTCTGTTTTAGTTTAATGTATCATGTTTTTTGCTGACATAGTGACATGTTTCCTTTTCAGATTTTGAGGCTAAAGGCAGAGATTGCGAAATCATCAAGTAATCCTGAAAAATTCCTTTTGGAGGCTCTTCATTCTACTGGCTATTCTGGTGCTTTAGCAAACCCACTAATCGCGTCAGAATATGCAATTAGCAAATTGAATGCAGATGTCCTGGAGCAATTTATAATTGTGAGATTCATCTCCAGAATTTGTTTAGTATTCTTTATGTCCTGGTATCCTTGTTGACGTGTTATTTGTACTTTTTGTTGCATGGGTATCAGGAGAACTACACTGCTCCCCGAATTGTTCTAGCTGCATCAGGTGTTGATCATGATGAATTGGTATGTATTACTGAACCCCTTCTGTCTGATATTCCCAGTGTATCTGGAACAACAAGGCCTTTTTGTTTTGTTAGCACTTGAGTGCTTGTTTGGTCTTTTTGTGATATAGATATATGTTTTGTTGTCATAATATGAGTCTGTTTGTTATTATTGTGATTCTTGTACTCTAGAAGATGTTTAGAAATTTTTGGCTAAACAATCTTGTTTGGGCCACAATATTACAGTCTAGTTTGCCAGGATACTTGATCATGTATTTTACTGATGATTTGGGGGAGCACGTGTTGGTAATTTGAATTTTTTTTACGAAAAAATGCACTGTAGAGGCGGCTGGTACTGTAGCCGCCCCTACAAATCGATTTTGTAGGGGCGGCTACAGTATCAGCCGCCCCTACGAATCGATTTGTAGCCACCCCTTCGTAGAGGCGGCTGGCAAAACCGCCCCTACAAAGAGTTACGAGCCGCCGCCCTTAAAACAAACAGTTTTTACGTGGTGAAGTAAAACAAGGCAAAAAGATGCAGTCCAGCACAAGCTGATTCAGGGATCCACTACTACCACCCACCAGTTGAATTATACGACTCTCAAGCGCTATTCAGACATCATTTCACCTTACCCTTGTCTAAGGTGTAGGACGACTCTCAACCTGCTCCTCCCACTGCCCCCTGGTCTAGTACAGTACATCACAAAAGGGCTTACCTACTTTACCCGTTGACAGTCAGAAGATGTCCATTTTTGTCCTGATCTGACAATACATAGGACCTGATTAAGAACTTAGAAGGATACTAGTTGAGATTAGCTGCACGTATTTATGGTTCGTGTTAGATCGACGGCCTTTATTACTGATCGATGTCGAGGCATATATAGATCGGAAATGATACGCCACGGGCGTTCGGACGAACCGTCCGCGTTGTCCATGCCGCTGGGTCCATGCGCCCCGCGCCTCGGCTGCACACGCGTGCCCTTGCTCCCTCTCCCGCCCGCGTTCTCACGCGGAACAGGAGGCATGGGAGGTCTGCATCTGCACTCCCATCCACCTCGCGTCGCCGGTAGGAAGGGGAGGCCTGCGCTACCGCAATTCCCCATTAGTAGGTCGTGACCGCCGGCGATGTTGTGTTTCAGGTGTTTTTGGATATGTCGTAAGCCTATGTTTCAAGTGTTTTGGTTGTTTCAGACGTATGGTTCAATTATTTCATCTGGATGTTACATATGTTGCTATGGCTATACACATATGTTTCAAACATATGTTTCAAATGTTTTCAGACTTATGTTGCAAGTGTTTCATCTGGATGTTGCAAAAGTAGATTTGGATGTTGCAAATGTTACTATGGCTATACACGCATGTGTTCAAGTGTTTTATCTGGATGTTGCATATGTTGTAAATGACTAAGTTGCAAGTATATGTTCCGTATGTTTCATATGTTTCAGGCGTATGTTGTAATTGTTTCATCTGAGTGATGCAAAAGTAGATCTGGATGTAGGTGTGGACAAAGACTAATCTCTCGATGGTCCAGCTGCTGTGGGTCCCTAGTGTGGCGAAGATGGAGGCCGCGGACACGAGAGCGTCAGGGATGGGATGCCGTGGCAGATCGATCGGGATGGGCGTGGGCACGACGCATCGGAGCGGATGTGACGTGTGCCTCCATTCTGCGTGCGTTGGGCGCAGGTTCGGGGAAGGTCGATCCAAACGGTCGCTGCCTTCGGAGCGGGGATGAGCGCGGGGCGTGCATCAATCGCGGAGCGTGCGTTGGGCGCGGGTGGGCGTGAATGCGTAAGGCGCGGGCACGAGAGCAGCGTCGGGATGGACGCCGTGTCTGAACGTCAGGGTGCTAGTGGCTCTGTATACAGATGCATGCAAATTACCAGTTACATTTTTTTTAGAAGGAGCAACAGTTTCAAGCGAAGCGAACGGGCAGCCGAAGCCGATGGCCCATGGGCCATGGCCATCCACGTCCACACGCGCGCGTTTGGGGCTCGAGCCCGTCGGTGCCGCATGACCGTGCCGCGTGCCGCGTCGGAACCAAAGAAGGAATAGCAGTTCGGCACCGTATCCGTGCGCGGACCTCAACACTCTCTCTCTCTCTCTCTCAAAAAAAAGAGGCAGTGCCGTTGTTTCTCTAGAGAAAAACAAAGTTACAATTTAACTCCTCGACGCCGTTCATATCGTCTGATTTTCCTGTTCGAAATATAAAACCTTGACTACGCACTTTGTGGGATAATGTCAAAATATCAAGATTGCATTCCTAGACGAGCCTAGGCACGCCTAGACGTTTTCAAGATGTTTCCTAAGTATTTCACACGTACATATATTATCTGAAATAAAAAATAGAGGATCTATGGATAATGGATCTAGAGTTGGACACAAATGCCCATGAAGGAGCCCAACCCACTTTATCCACCCACCTCCTCCTAGCCGCACGCACCATACTCCTGATTCCATAATTTTAAACTCGATAGGTGTGGCCAGGATGGTCATCAGCCATTCGATAAGGGGAGAATACCTTGTTAAGAAGAATGACAAGGAAGAAGGAACAATTATCTACCTCATGCTATACTTGGCAAAGTTGACGACTTGGTGAGTACATGAGTTCATGTATGACGGGGCCGCTAGGCTAAATCCACTTGGGTGGTTCATCTCTGATGACTTACTAATGGACTTTATTATGGTCTCTTTGCCAGCAAGATATAAAAATGTACTCATAATGCTCACATTCTAAAAGTCTATAACTTCCGCAGATTATTAATCACATGCAAAGGCAACATGATAAGTTTAATGAATGGCTTCAAACGAAAGGTAATAAAGTTATCTCATGAGCTTTTCCAAAGATCATTTCCCTAAACATGCATGGTGGCTTCAAAAGAAGGGTAATAGATTATAAGTCAGTGAGCTATCTATATGATACCCTAAGTGCAGCTCCAGTGTGTCATCGATTTTTCTGCTGCAAAACTTTTAGCGTGTCAGAGAGTAAATGCCCACAATGTAGAATTCGATTTGTGAAAATGGCAACAGGGGACGTCAATTGAAAAGTCTATTTTCTCTCTCTGAATCTCTCGACGTGTGGCTGGACATGCACTCTCTGAAGGCTTGTGTTTTTTATTCACTATGGTTCGACGCATCTGCAAGATGAGATTTTGATTCTGACATGCATGGTTCGATTCCTATAATGTATTGTGTTCGGTTTTCTAGCCTCACGGTTCGATTTGGCTCATCACTCGAGCTGCTCTAATAAATCCAATGGATATTGAACTAGGTATTTTTACTAAGTTGTTGAGACATAACAAATTGTGTTCTTATAGGATGCAGATATCAATGGGAGCTAGTGAGACCTCACAAAGGAGGAAGATTAAATCTTGAAGAGATACATGCTTAGCTTTCTGTACCAAAGATTCAAGAAGACATAAATGTCTAAGTTTGTGGCACAAGTGTATAGCTCCATTCAAATTACTGCAATTGACAGTTAAGTGAACCAAAATAGGAAAACTTAGCAACTGATCAACACGATAGGAAGAGCCTTGATTACTTAGCTAGTTGTGATTCTAGTAAACCTATAAGATGATCACATCGGTAGAGGAGGGCTGTTATTCTAAAGTAAGTAAATCCATGAGTTTAAGTCTATAAGCATATATAAGTATGGGTGTTAGTAAAAATCCTAATAAAATCAAAAGAATAGGCTATAAAAGAGACTACGGTTTTGAATGTGACTGCAATGGGAGTTTTGAAAGGTTAAATGTAAGCTCAGAGCTCACTGTGTTTTTGAATTTTCAATAGATGGAAAATTATGTCCGATCTTAAGTCAAATGGTGGAAAAGTTTTTTGTTGTCTTAGTACTCTACATGGGTGAGATTTTGTCAGCATGTACCAATAACAATATGCTACACAAGAGTTTTTTTTTGTCTCCCAACTTTAAGTACAAAAGATCTTGGTGAAGTCTCTAATGGTAGTAAGATACATTGACACACGACCGAATGAGTATTATGATTATCATATAATACATATTGGTAAATTTTTAAGTGATATAAAAGTTTGAATAAGTAATACTGCCTGTTCTATCTGCATAATGTAGTAAGTTCAGTTATCCTAAATATCCAAGTTAGAATCAATTGAGGAGGAAGACGTTCCTTATGCTTACGCTTAAGTTGTGGTATTATTTCAAGTAATGACACATCAATTGGCAACACCAAACATATTGATTAAAAATTATGTTGCGAAAAAGCCAAAATCAAACCATTGAAAAAAAAAGTACTGAACTAACGGTAGCACGTGTGCTTATTTGAGACTTACCACTTATCCCATTTAGAAATGTGCAAATCAGTATGGGTTTTCAGTGAAGAGTCTCTAACCTGATCTAAGATACAAGGCCATATAATTTACTCATAATAAAAAAATAAATGTTATAGCTATTACGGTGAAATTTGGTTTGGTTAAGGACTTAGGGGTTTTAGCAGCGATGGAAGTGGGTAAACCCAAAGTCGTGTAATGGGTTGCTGGGTCAACCCCAGACGTACTTAGCCCACGAACTTAGCCCACGAAACAGCCAAAGCCGGTCCAGCCCACGGTGTAACCCTAGATATATATGCAGCAGCAGTGTTGCCGCATCCACATCCCCGTCCCAGTCCGTCGCCCCTCCTGCAGGTCGCCGCCGCTCGCTCGCTCTCTCTCCCGACCACAGCGCCACCGCTCACCGCCCACCGCTCGAGTCTCGACAATCCGTCTACGCGACCGGCGCCCCTCCCTCCCCAGGTGATTGCCGCCGTCTGCATCCTCCTCCGGTGCTCCCAAGGTGAGTCCCGACCTAAACCTAATTCACAAATTACGTAGCAGTAATTAGAAGATCTCGACGTGGCTTCGGTATGAAGGGTCACATGTTGTAGATGCGAATTCGGTAGGAAGCGCCACATGTTCTAGATGCGAATTTGCTCCATGCGCATGACCAGGATTGTCTAGATTAAGGTAGTCTAGATGCATATCTGCTACTATTGTCACGTTTTCTGAACTGATGACAAGGTTAGGTTGAACTGATGCATATCTGGAAGACTTGAACTGTATATTCTAGTTCCTATCCTGTATCAGCAAATATTATATCATTTTTTTTTCATTTGTGAACAATCCAATTCGGACTGAACCTTGTATTCGG